CAGCAAATGCCAACTTGCAGATAACTGTATCAAAGAGCCGGGCACACAACCAGCTCATCAATTACATCAAGTAAGTTCTTGGGCCGTCCAACGGACTGCAAAAAAGGCTGAGGGACTACTGTTGAGCAGCGCCAAATCGATTTGCACTGCTTCCATTTATACTGCAGCAGATGTGCTGACAAAATCACTTCTTTAAGCTTGTCTTGGCAGCCAGTCTCCAGCGCAAATTGCTTCTGTATGCATCAGACTCAATTTGCACTGCGATTTTTGAGGTGAACCAGCCCTCTTTTCACAGCAAATAGTCTGGGAACGATTAGAAATCGCAAACTTTCATTTCCCATCGTTCTTGGTTATCTCAAGTCCAGATCCCATAGGTTCAAAGATACCCATGTAGTCTGATACTTCAGTACAGTGTCGTCTTTTGCAGGAGAGGTTAAAGCAAGGTTTGTCTAGCGGAGGTTAAAGATCCCACGGCATTTTTCAAAAAGAGAAGGGATTTTCTCCCTGCGTCCGGGCTAACAAATCTCCAACTGAAAATTGGTCATCCACTTCTTAGCTCTATGTGGGACATTACTGTGCACAAATTGGCACAAATTACACAGTCTCTATATTTTACAGTATATCCTGTGAAGCTCTTTGAGACATCCTACAAAAATGTGAAAGGCACAATAATCAAATGCAAGGATTATTATTACTACCGCACACTGTGCTCCCACCCCGGGACATATTTCCAGTTATTTCTTGTTAAATAAAGCATCAGTCAATATGTTCCGGCTGATGACACGAGAAGCCAAGCGTGCGAAGGCAGATAGACCTCTTGGTGCCCGGTTACTTGCTTAGCATGGCTGTTTGGCACCTGAACAATAATTGATCAAAATGCCCTTTTGCCCATATTCAGTGAGCATATTCCTCAAGCAACAAAATATCAGAATCCAAGCTGGGTAGAAATACTTTGAAGGAAACATCAATATTATAAGTCGTTTGCAACAAATATCGAGGGAGAAATTCCACCTAAGCCTAGATTTATTCTATTTTCCTAGCATTTCAGTGCATGCAGATTATTGTATTGTCTTAAATACAGTCTTCATTTCAAAGACTATTTATTGACTATTGGTAGTAATTTTTACTACCAAGTATTGCACAAAATATTGATCGGTTTCAGAACACCACTTAAATACAGAAATTAACCGAATAATGCGTATTTGAGGGTTTTTCTGTAAATGTATTTTACAGAACTATATTTTCAATAAAAAGAGCCCAATTTATGCCCATCATTCATGCCATAATTATCTATTGATTAATGATAGTAATTTTTTCACAAAAATATTGATTGGTTTGAGAACACTATTTAATACAGAAATTAACCCAATCTTGCATATTTGAGGCTTGAGCCAGGTGATAATTCTGCAGCTTAAGGCCCGAAGCAATAAATGACATTACCAGTGGACTCTGCATACACCCAGATGAGAGATGTCTCTTTCACAGATCTTTGTTCTTTATGGAAAGCTGTAAAACCCGTGAAGTTCAGCCCAATTACCCATGGGCTGTCCTTCATGCCTGTTAAGTGCTTCAGAGAACATGACATACGATGAAGAGACGTTCCATTGTTTAAAGTCAAATTCATACATAGTTGCTGATTATAACTTACTGTCTAGATCATGGTCATTGGATGGTTATGGGAACATCTGCTTTGTGATGGCTCCCAGTTATCTCGTTCAGTGCCACTTAGTTTATACGGGGGATTGGCCTGGCAGTGCTGACTGCAGACTGATCGCTGCTCAGATAGCGATCTCATACACACTGCAATGGTAGGCACCACCTGGCAGAGACCGTACCTCCCAACAGAAGAGGGAGGAAGAGTCCATCAATGCTTTTGAGCAACTGGGAGAAGCTGACTGTTCTCTCTGCCCAAGGTGATGAACGGTCTGGGGAGACCAGGAGTGAAGAGAGCTAAACACTCAGATCTTCTACTTGAAGTAACATTGCAGACACTGCACAATTCCAACCCATTCTCAGAAATATCTATTTGCCCTTGACTAAGCTTCAGCGCAGCATAATATGTGTCAACTTAATAATAATAATCATTTGATATAGCATCTTAACACATCAACAAAATGTCTCAAAGTGCTTCACGGGATTCATGGTAGAATGTAGTGACTGTGTATTTTGTAAGTGAACATGGCAGCCAATTTGAGCCCAGCAATGTTCCCACAAACAGCCATGAAGCGTAGCTTGTCATTTAGAGCAGCTAGTACTTGGCTTGCAAAGTTAACAGGAGCTGAGTGTGAAAAATCTCTTAGCCCAGTGACTGGTCTGCTCTTTCAAGTCCTACTGATGAGCTAGACTGCCTTTGGATCCTCAGCAGTGCCTTGGAGTACTGCAGACCGGCCTAGATCAGGAACTGGAATAACCTGATTCTGACATTCTGGTGCAAAGAACATCGTTTTGAAACCAGCTCAGCCACAAGGAGACCTCACTTACCTCCCCAGCAAGGAGGTCCCAGTGACCAACAAGCCTCCAGATAAATTATCCATTCATGGCTGTTTTGGGGACTTTGCTGTATAAAAAATGACTGTTGTGTTTGCCTGTAAATACTGTTACTATACTTGACATAAATTCCTTTTAAGGTGTTTTGAGACATTGACAGTATATTCTCTGTATCAAATGCAAGGATAATTATTATTACTTGCACAGGAAGAATTTATCTTGGAAGAGAGAGATCTGTAATTTGTTCTCTTGTATAGAGTTCATCCTGCAAATCAGGTATCTTATTTCCTTTAACAGTTACGGATGAGATTGATTTACAGTAGAGACTGGCATTTCACTTCATTGACCAAAATCTTCATAATGGGCATCCTTTAGTCATTACTTTGCATTCTTTTTGAAAGAGAATAGTTTCTCCCTGTGTCCTGGGCAACAACCCCCTTAGTAAAAAAATGATCATTCACTTTAAGCCTGGTTTGTGGAACATTGCTGTGAACAAAGTGGCTGTTGGATACCTCTACAAATACACATTCAGTACACTTCTCAGAAACTTTGTGAAACATTTTGAGACATTCTCAATGCTATTATAGGTGCTATACCAAATGCAAGGAGTTGAAGTTGAAAAAAAAAGCTGGGGTCAAGTTGTGTGTTTACAATATGTCAAAGGTGTAAGAAAAGAGCATAGCCCAATTAATTGTATAAATCTGACAGGGTTTTCAATTATAGACCCATGAAATGTGCCAGTACAGTTTGGTTTAAAAGCAACACTTCTGATCTGAACTGTTATGAAATCGGAATAGGAAATGATGCTTCATATAAGATGACTAACAGCAACTCATTTGGCATCTATTGAAGCATATGGTAAATAAACCATGTTAAAAACCTGTTGCACTTCTTTGTTTACAGTGGGAAACCAAGCTTTTATTCGTTAGATGTCAGAGTTGGTAAAAGTCTGGCCTTCATTGTGTAAATAGAAGCAACACAATGAGCCATAGAAAGCCATAGTAAAAATGACTGAAGTGTGTTTTGAGAGAGGATGAACAAACAGTGCATTATCTGCATAGAGCCTGGAGGAAAATGTGGCAGAAGATGGCTAAGTAAATGGTGCTACTTAATAACAAGTCAGATTGGTGCTGCCCTGTGGAATCCTTAATAAATAGAAAATGCAGAATTCCTGTTTTGATCAAATTGAGGGAAAGTGACGTCTTTTTTAAGATCAGTGTCTCTGAAGTAACTGTTACACTGTGTAATCGAAGAATGGCCCAGTCTGCACCAATTAGATGCTTTAGTATGCCTTGTTAGTTTATAAAGTCTTCTGCTGGGTCCAAACAGCAGCACTCTTCAGACGATTGGCTGTAGAAAGCCCTTGATGCATGGAGCTGTGAAAGTTGTTCGCAAGACCTCCAAGTGAACCGCACAGACGTCTGTTTTTCACAGTGATCCAGAATGCCACATGTATCTGACTGCGTGTATTACAAGGTGAGAATCCGATGCGTGATTATGAGCAGCTGAGATTTAGCAGCTGAGTGAACAGTCAACAAGTATAGAAAAATCAGCCTATTTTTTAATGGTGATTAAGATGCACGACCCATGTCCCCTTTATTCAGAAGGTACTGCAACTGTACATTGATCACAGCCTGGTGGACTTGTGCTTCCCTGTGTATTTATGTCTGGTTCAAACTACAATCGAGCAATATGATCCAAGTGGGAATGGTTGCCACTGATAGCTTCATGCATTCTGCTAACAGGTAGATTACTAACATGCTGCAGTTTCAATGCAACATCTGAGATATTTAGCGATGTGATAAATAAGTTTCAGAATTTTGATGTGTAACATTTTACGTGTATTTTATATTAGAGTTACGCCAATAAAATGCAAATGGTTTAATGTGCACTTTTGCTTGCAGATTCCAAGAATGTTATTTATCTTCCCCTAATACATACTGAATTATTTGTATTACTAATGGACAAAGCTGACATCATTCAGTTTTGGTCCATATCTATGGCTATTTTCGTTGCAGTTCAGATGGTGCATTATGATCACTTGGAAAAGTATTTTTTAGTTCTCAAATATCTATTACATAATGAGAATGATAAAGCAATGTGCACTTATAAATTTAGGAAAAGCAGGTTAAAAGCTTTTGACAGTTTTTTTTAAAGTCTCTTTTTAAGCCGCTGTATTGTATCAGCCATATCTTGGTGTATGTTTGTAGGAGGAATGTAAATGATCTTTCAGACAGTGGCATTCACTGACAGTGGTTAAACCCAACTCAAAGTGCTGCAACACAGCATTCAATTATTACGTTCCATTGTATTTAAACTCGGATATTTCCACAGATCAAATTATGAGGCTTTCTGCAGTAGGGCTTAGGTGAAACTGCACATGGGTCTGATGTGCAGTGAAAATGTTTTGATTTTAAAGTTTTTAAAGAAACAATATTGGCGTTTCTGCTCGGTCATTTTAGACTACTTTTAAAGTTATGTTTTTACACCGCTCTTCATTTTATTTTCAACAGCTCCAGACACACCTGGAAAACCCAACAAAGTACCATATCCACCAGGCACAGAGACAGCAAATGAAACAATTTCTAACACTGGGCAGCAAGCTTTCCAGTCAGAATTTCTCCATCTCCCATTCGCACCCAGCCCAGCCTGTTGGGACAACTCATATTATGAGAAATGGCCACATTCCTCCTGGTAATGAAAGCAATACACCTGACAGCCCGATAACTCTACTGAGTCTGGGGGCAAACCATGAAAATGAGGTAACTTTTCTTTTTGCCGTTTCAATACCAACTATTTACAGAAAAAAATGCCTTGCTGCAGTTTTTATTCAAATGTCTTAGCTATCAAATTAAGCCTAGCAATGTAACCTCCGCACTGTGGAATATACATTTTCCTTATTGCCTATTGTCAAATAATAATAAGAATACTACTAATAATTATAATAATCCTTGCATTTGACATAGCACCTTGAAACGTCTTAATGCGCTTCACAGAATGCACTGTAAAATGAATTGAGTGTATATTTTGTGGGCAAAACGTGGCAGCCAATTGCGCACGGCAGTGTCCCACAAACTGTCGTGGATTGATCACAAAATCACAAGAAAGCTTTAAATGTGAGAAAAAAATTATGGTTTTGGATTGGATATGTTGCACTTACCAAGTCAGGTTGGGGATGATACTCAATATTTACACATGTAAAGTTTGGACACGTTGAAGGGCTAAGCAGCATATATGGTACTTTCACAGGTAAGTACTGGACAGAACTTACACAAGTCCCACACCTTTTCTCTACTTTTATTATTGCTCTCAGTCAATAACTTGATAAAGCAGACACTTGCATTGAGAGCACTGAACATTCTGAATCTGTCATCTTGAGTTGCATATCGCTTTGTTTTCAGATGGACGAAGTGATTGATGATATAATCAGCTTGGAATCCAGCTGTTTCAATGATGATAACCTCAGCTGCATGGAGCCGTCACATCTCATACCCAACACAGTAAGTTGTCGATTACAAAAATGAAGTAAAGAATAATGTTTGCATTTGTTATGGGAACCTTACCGTGTCATTAAAAGGTCTCAAATCGCTTCACAGGATATTCTTTACAGTTCACTGTGTAAGTAAGTACAGCAGCCATTTTGCACACAGAAATGTCCTACAAACAGCCATGAAGCGAATGATGAATTTTATATGGGGAGGGGGCTGGTGGCCAGGACACTGGAGAAACTCCCTTCACTTTCAAATAGTGCCATGTGATCTGTAATGTCCATCTGAATGGGCAGATGGAACCTCAATTTAACATCTCATCTGAAGAAGCACTGACAATGTAGCATACTCTCAGTGCTCCACTGGAGTGTCAGCCTAGAGTATGAGCTCAAAATCCCTACATTGGACTTGAACATAGAGCTATCCATAGAAGTAAAGCTTTATAGTGAGAAAATACCATTGGGCCTTACACCTAATCAGTTTAGATATTTCTCCAATTATTATTTTGCCTCCTTGAGGGTCCGTGATGATACAGTCGAGTCATATCTCCTGACTGAATAGTGTCTCTAGCGAGGAAATTGCCCAATGGGTCATTTAGCAGTCAGGGAGCAGTTCTGCCTGTCTTGAGTGGAACATGCTGTACTTTCAAGTTTTGACTATGAGATTAAGTCACTTTTATGTTTTGTTCCACTGTAACCAGCATGGACAGAGTTAGGCTCCATTGCTGACATTAGTTACACTGGTAATACTGTATTATGGTGCAGGAAACTACAGTCAAGTTTTGCCAGTTGAACATCATCGGGCTATTTTAGTTTTTGGTGTCCAATGTTGCTGCACAACAAGACATGTTTGCAGAACCGCACTGGCCACACTATTTGTTTCCGTCCTGTGTAACATAGCCTATACTGTACATTCTATTCTCCTTGACCATGGTTCAGTATTCCACTACTAAGGAGGGGAAGAGAAAATGGAATTAAATACAAATTAAATACAAATGAAATTAAAATGGAATTTACTACAGTAAACCTCAAACAAGTTGTTTCAGTTGGGACTATACACTTAATATGACTTATGCAAAATATGAGTTATGTCAAACTTGCATAAGTTATATCATATTTGACTTATGTAAAGTTCTATATAAGTCAGATTTAATATGACTAACACATAACAAATGCACAAGTATCCTACTGGCTGGTGATATTAAGGCAAGGTTTCAGTACCATGTTTAACCCATTCATATTAAAGCTATGGAAGCCTATTCTATCCATATTCAGTACTGCACAGTAATATGATAATATATATAATATAATAATCCTTGCATTTGATATAGCACTTTATCACATCTTCATCTCAAAGCACTTCACAGAATATATTGTAAAGTGAATTGATTATATTTTGTGGGATAGGTGGCAACCAATTGGGTGCAGCAGTTTTCCACAAACAGTTGTACTGTACCTCATGTGCTCAAAACATGTAGTGTACAATGAATGGCACAACCAAACAGGTTTCAAAACAGAACTGTTTTATTAGAATATAAACTCTTGCACAGATTGTTTCACATGGAGCGGTGTAGTCTATGGGTGGACCAACCTTTTGCCTGCTGAGAGTCACACGCCCTGTTTGAGAACCAAGAAATGCTGCCCTCACCTCCCCACTTTCTATGGCCTGGGCAGCCCCTCATTGTCTGACAACCAGAACTGTATGCATTTCCCTATGTGCAGTCTGACCAGAGCACTAAATAGCTGACACTGAGTGTAGCAATACATGGTTCCTTGCCTTACGATTTAGCTTCTGTTGAAAGCGTTCTTACAAGTGAGTAAACATTAACATTGCACTGCCTGACACAGCTGAATGGCCTGGAGGCAGATGAATGTGCGAATTACACTGTATGTATCAGACAGTGTTAAAGTCCAAGGAATCAAAGTTCATTTATTCCACAAACTGATGCTCAGCACATGCACTCTAATTCCTGCTCACACAGCAGCTCTGAGGGAGAAACAAAGATGAAAGAAAAACGCAAAGCAATTACTGTTGTAGAGTTTATAGAGTCACAGAAAATAAAGCTGGTAAGAAATGGACCTTTTATTTTGTTATTTCCTAGTGCAAGTGAGAAGACTGACTGGATTTATAGACATTTCATTTAGAAATATGGGCAAATATAGTGTAGCGTAAAGTATAGCAGAACTGAACTGCACACAACCCTGCGAGAGAGCATGGTTAACTTAAAACATTTTAAAGTTTGTGTTTTATCCAGGAAAAAGCTGCTAAAGTATTACTGCTGAGAACACTGGGATCCTGGTTAGGATGACTCCGGGTGTCTAACCTTTATGACATCTTCTCATTCATTTTGGGGGAGGAAGCTCTAGATTTACCACAAATAAGCTACTTGTGCAGATAAACAACCGTCCTCGGTGGGTTTCCTTTACTTCACTTTTCTGTAGGCCAAAGGACAGTGCAGATTTGTTACGTATGCATCTCAAGGAGCTGTTGTTCTCATCAATGCATCACGCTACGATCAGTTCTGGTGGTGGTCACGGCATAATGGGTCTGCTTGGTACTAGAAGCAACGAGTGCACAGCAGAGGAAGTATGTCCTTCTGATGGCAGAATAACACAGTTGTGGATGGTTTCTGTTTTTGTTTGATTTGTGTAGATAATTCTGGCAGAGATTAAGGATATTTTTCCCACAAAACTTCAAGAGTAAAACTTGTGTATAGTTCTGTAACTTCCTGTGGCTTTAACTTCAATTTTTAGCATTGAAAATGTTGTATTTACTGAAACCCATTTCTCTGTCACCACCCTGGCATATATTTGTTGCCTGAATTTTCAAAGAGTGCGCACAGGATTTGATATATAAAGAAAGACACCACTATCTCTTTTAAAATGGACGCTGTAAAGTACAACTGTTAATAAGCTTAAGCCAATGGAGCATCAGTATATTGGGGTAAAAGGCTTAATGTGGCAGTATTTTAGCGTGTAAGCAAATTGCTTCAAATATTTTCACGTGTAGTTTAAAATTGCTCATCTCCTGTAACCATTGAAACCGTTCACCTCTCGAAGGTTATTAATGGATTAAAGAGTAACCAAAGCTCAAACCAGATGACACAATGTCCTGGATTTCTATGGTGCAGTGATAGATAACACGTTTGCGATATCCTTCACAACGTTTAAAAGAATAATGAGGAAGCGCTTGAAGAGAAATAATATTAAAGGCTGTAGGAAAGAGCAGAGGAATGTGGTCAGAATGAATAACTTCAGTGGGGGAGCTAGCATCAGCATTGGCATGATGGGTTGAGTGACTTCCTTCTGTGCTGTAAACTTTTAATGATTCTATAACTACAGCCTATAACAGAATAACTGGGCATATCATTTCAATTATTATTTCAAACAACAAAAAACAACTTGCATTTGTATAGCATCCTTGACACCTTACCAAGGAGGGGAGGCGAAGATCACACCTGAAGACCTTCCTCTTCAACTGTGTTGAAAATACTGACTTAGAGCTCTTACACTGAAAATCTTAAAGATCTTGGTCTGGTCTTCCTTCCCTCAGTTTTCCTTTTTTACAATGGAGAAAAACTATTTACTTTCTGCAATCAAGGCTCATCTCTACTCATTGTGTCCCTGGTTATGGAAAAACTGCACGACGAAGTGAGAGAAGAGCTCCATTTTAACATAAGCAAAATGTTCAAAAACGAAAGTTCAAACAAATAAGGAAAGGGAGGTTACACAACACAGGGTGCTTCAAATAGTTAAGCAATACAACAACAACAACAACAACAAGATTCCATTTATTGAGCGCCTTTCACGTCGGGAGGACGTCGCAAGGCGCTGTACAGTTGGGTCAGGACCCGAGCAGGGGGGAAATGGTCAGGGTGAGGGGAGGGAAGGGAGGGAGCGAGGAGGGGAGTCGAGAGGGGAGAGTCGAGAGGGGAGCTGAAGGCACGGTCAAAGAGAAAGGTCTTGAGACCGGCCTTGAAGGAGGAAAGGGAGGAGGCAAGGCGAAGGCACTGGGGGATGGAGTTCCAGAGCCTCAGGGCTGAGAGGCTGAAGGCCCGGCCACCGATGGTAGGGCGGTTGGGGCGGGGGATGTGGAGCAGACCGGAGCCAGAGGAACGGAGGGTACGGGCAGGTAGGTAGGGGGATAGTAGGTCGGAGAGGTAGGAGGGAGCAAGGCCGTGAATGGCCTTGTAGGTGAGGATGAGGATCTTGAATTCGATCCTCTGGGGGATGGGGAGCCAGTGGAGGCGAGCGAGGGTGGGAGTGATGTGGTCGCGAAGCCTGGTGCGGGACAGTACACGAGCTGCAGAGTTCTGAATGACCTGCAGCTTGTGGAGGGAGGTGCCGGGAAGGCCGGCGAGGAGAGAGTTCCCATAGTCCAGCCTTGAGGTGATAAAGGCGTGGACCAGAGTTTCAGCAGCGTGAGGGGTGAGGTAGTGCCGTAGTCTGGCGACATTCCGGAGGTGATGGAAGGCGGTGCCAGTTGTGGCACAGATATGAGGGAGAAAGGACAGCTCAGGGTCGAACAGAACCCCGAGGTTCCTGACTGGCTTTGAGAGGTGGAGAGTGCAGCCTTGGATGCTGATGCTGTCAGCGCCTGAGGTGCGGAGGCGCTGACGTGAGCCAATCAGGAGGGCCTCAGTTTTGCGCACGTTGAGCTGGAGAAAGTTATCTCTCGTCCAGGACTCGATGTCGGACAGGCAGCTGTCAGGACATCGGTGGTCGTGGAGTTGAGGGTAGAGGAGGAAAGGTAGAGTTGGGTGTCATCCGCATACATGTGGAAGTTAACCCCATGTCTGCGGATGATGTCACCAAGGGGGAGCATATAGAGGGTGAAGAGGAGGGGACCGAGGACAGAGCCTTGAGGGACACCGCACGAGACAGTGCGGGGGCCGGAGGAAAAACCATTTGTGGAGACAAAGTGAAGACGGTGGGAGAGGTACGACCTAAACCACTCAAGGACAGGGCCTTGAAGGTTTAGGTGGGAGGACAAGCGGTGGAGGAGGATAGCATGGTTGACCGTATCGAATGCTGCTGATAGGTCGAGGAGGACGAGGAGGCAGAGGGAGCCCTGGTCACAGATGGTCAGGATGTCATTGGTGACCTTGACCAGGGCAGTTTCTGTGCTATGGGCAGCACGGAAACCCGATTGAAGGGGTTCGAATAGTGAATGGTTGGAGAGGAAGGAGCGCAGCTGGGAGGCGCAACTCGTTCCAGGACCTTGGATAGGAAGGGGAGGTTGGAGATGGGCCGGTAGCTTGATAGCTGCGACGCATCAAGGGAGGGTTTTTTTAAGGTGGGAGTGATGGTGGCAGTTTTTAAGGGAATGGGAATAGAGCCAGAGGAGAAGGACAGGTTGACGATGTCTGTGATAGTCACAGAAGTCAATAGTCACAGAAGGTTTGCAATAACCTAAAGGATACAGTTCACCAGCACAAAGAAAATAAAACTTGAATGGGGGTAACAGTTTAATCAAGAAACTCTACTGAAGGGTTGTTCTGTTTAAAGGTGGACAACAACAATGACTTATAGCACTCTTTACATGGGTAGCTTCTTGTGAACACCACAAAGAATAAAGTGAGAGGTTCAGTCCAATATAAACAAAATTGCCCTATTCCTCCTCTCTCCACATACGAAACCTGTCTCATAACTTGGGAACACTTAGCAGGTCAGGCAGCATCTATGGAGAAAGGAAAGTGAGTCAAAGTGGGCCAGAACACCAGATCTTCATCAGAACTGTTGGGAAGGAGAAGCTTTTAAGGGCTAACAGAGAGGTGGGAGGCAGGGCAAGGAAGAAAAAGGAGAAAATGGGGGTAGAGGACAGGGTTAACATGGGTTAAAGAGGTGTTAATGATGCAATACAAAGGGGGCAATTGCATCAAAACAGGCAGATCAGAGAAAGAAAAGGCGTATCTGGGACCCAAATGATGTGGCAATGCTCACAGAAGAGGGGGAGAGGAAAAGTGAGCTGTTATGATCTGAAATTGTTGAAATCAATATTGAGTCCAGAGGGCTGTAAGGTCCCTAGCAGATAGATGAGGTGCAGTTCCTTGAGCTTGCGCTGTGGTTCATTGGAACAGTGTAGGAGACCATGGATGGAGAGGTCAGAATACGAGTGGGAGGGAGAGATGAAGTGGCAAGAAACCGGAAGCTCAGGGTTGTACTTGCAGACAGAATGGAGGTGTTTGGCAAATCGGTCACCCAATCTGGGTTTGGTCTCCCCAATGTAGAGGAGACCACATTGTGAGCAGCGAAGGCAGTAAACTACATTGGTGGTAGGACGCGTAAATTGCTCTCTCACTTGAAAACTGTGTTTGGGGCCCTGGGCAGTGGTATGGGAGGAGGTGAAAGGGGAGGTATTACATCTTCTGCACTAGCATGGGAAGGTCCCAGGGGAAGGAGAGCAACTGTTGGTGGTGATGGAGGAATGAACCAGGGAGTCACAGAGGGAATGGTCCCTTCGGAATGCTGAGAGTGGAGGAGAGGGAAAGATATGTTTGGTGATTGGATCACACTGGAGGTGCCGGAAATGGTAGAGAATAATTTGTTGAATGTTGAGGGTTGGTGGGGTGGAATGTGAGGACTAGGGGGATCTTGGAAGAGGGGGAAAGGGTGAAGGCAGAAGTGCGGGAAATAGGGCAGACACGGTCAAGGGACCTGCTTACTACAGTGGATGGGAATCCTCGTTCGAGCAAAAAGGAAAACATTTCAGCTGCTCTGGTGTGAAAGGTGCTTTGGGAACCCGCATAGGTCCCAGCTACACCCGCCTGTTTGTTGGCTACCTGGAACACTCTTTGTTCCGGGCCTACTCAGGTCCATGCCCTGACCTGTTCCTCAGATACATTGACGACGTGTTGGGGCAGCTTCCTGCTCTTGCAGTGAGCTGCAAAAATTCACCAATTTCGCTTCCACCTTCCACCCCTCCATAACATTCACATGGTCCATCTCCGACTCTTCCCTTCCTCGACTTCACCATTTCTACCTTGGGGCATAGATACAGATATCTTTTACAAGCCCACCAACTCCCACAGTTACCTGCATTACACATCCTCCCACCCCACTCCACCTCCTAAAAGGACTCCATTCCCTTTTCCGAGTTCCTCTGCTCCGCTGAACCTGCTCTGACGATGCCACCATTCACAGTATGACCTGCTGTGTGTTCCCAGCAACTTCTGTTTTTGTTTCAGATTTCCAGCATCTGCAGTATTTTGCTTTACTGTCTCATAACTTCCTTCTTTGTCAATGCATTCAGTCATCTTTCCTCCCCCATCCTCTTCAGCTTTGTGGAGCTCTGTAGCATATTGGTTAGAGCACTTGCCTCATAAGCAAGAGGACCTGGGTTCAATTACAAGGCAGGGTGGAACGTTAGGCAAGTTTCTTTACTCCACATGTCTCTGTTTACCTAGCAGTATATAGGAAAACGGTTATTAGTTAATTGTCGGATCGCCTTACCCGGAGTAATAATCCCTTCAAAAAAATAATTTTGGTTCACTCAATCCACAACTGTTTGTGGCTGCCGCACTTCATCCACAAAATGTACAGTCAATTCACTTTACAGTATATTCTGTGAGGCACTTTGAGACATTTCCAAGATGTGATAAGGCGCTATAACAAATGTGAGGATTATTATTATTATATGTATTAACCTATGGCTATGGTATCTAGCCAGCAGTGTGAAGTGCTTTGAGACGTCCTTCTGATGTGAAAGATGCTGGATAAATGTAACTTGTATTATAAATTTTAACCAAAGTAATCACACAATGTATGGGAGAGGAGGTTGATGCACAGTAGCAATGCGTAAAAGGCGTGGATGACTTCTGATACATTATTGGACACTGCCTATTGACAAAAAACAGCACTCACACTCAACTTTACCGCTCACTCACTGCAGATCAAATCGGAACACAATTGCTTGTAACTTATTCATGAGTTCATCGAGTTACTATTCAAAAGCCTCTCTAGCATCCAGAACAATGTTCCTTGTGAACAGTTTGTAATTAGTTCCAATAACCAGACAGGCGTCAGGAAGTGACAGCACAAACTGCTTAAACTGTCAGTCAAAGTCAAGGTTAGTGCCAGCCATACAGGAATCACACAATCCACACTGCCGGGCAATACTTGTCAGTGTGGAGGCATTTAGACTTCCACAGACACAATTATAGAGGGAGAACGTCTCAATGCGCTTTACAGAGACAGGTCAGGTGTAAAGAGGAGGTGGCTGAAGGTGCATTTGAAGAAAAAGGTTTTTAAAAAATAAGTTTGGGAAGATGAGCTGGATGAAAGACGATAGGACCTAATTGTGTTTTATGATAGTTTTCCCTTCAAAGAATTGTGCAACGTGTCAGCCTGGCTCCGTCTGTAGCACTATTGCCTCTGAGTTGGAAGGTTGTGGGTTCAAGCTCCATGTTGGCACTTGATCTTATAGTCTAGAATGACACTCCAATATAGTACTGGTGGAGTGCTGCATTGTCAGAGGTGCGTCCTAGGATGAGACATGAAACTAGATCCAGTTTGCTTGTTCAAGCGGACTCTAAATCCCATGGTATTATTCGAGAAGAAAAGGGAGTTTGTCCCAGTGTCCTCGCCAACAATCCCCCCAGATTGAATTGAATATTCACTTCATGGCTATTTGTGAGCCATTGTTGTGTGCAAATTGGTTGCCGTGTTCACCTACAAAACACACAGTCACAGCACTTTAAATCTTGTGATGTTTTGAGATATTTAAGGTGCAATATTAAATGCAAATTTTTAGCAATATATTGAGCAAGGTAAAGGGAGTTGTCAGTTTGATGTATGTCTTTCATGGAACCTCACTCAGCTTGTTCTGAGTGAAGTTGATGGTAGTCGTTGATCTCTGAGAACAGACACTTGCTCTACAAGGTGCAGGTGAAAGGAATCAATGAGCTTTCCATTGCCTCAGCTGTGGGCCAGTGTCAGATTGATTGCTTTCAATTGAAACAAATTTGCATCCCTTCAATTAAAAAGAAAAGTGACAAAGCAGATAAATAGTAACTTCATTCACCAGTCCTAACCTTAGTTGTCACCTCATCTGGAAATGGCACACACTCAAGTCAAAGTGCTAAGTTTACTTTCTCGGATTCCTGTAGTGTAGGATAAATGAATGTCAAAAAGGAAAGTGCAAGTCCTGTAGAAACTAATGTCAGACCAGAAGACTTTGTCATGATATGGTACAGGTTTGATTTCTTGTGTGTTTTCTTTTGATAAACCAGATGCCAATGTCTAGTAGCATTCTAGACGTTTATGGTGGTGACCAAGGGATGACTGCAAACAACATTGGACTCACTGGCAATTCCTGCTCTCCCAACCATTCAGTGAAAAGGGAAATAACAGGTGCACACTCTGGAAGTAAGTGATTTATTGTTCAGTGGTGTACATGCTGCTAAGAATTTGGAGTGATCTTTAATGTGTGTGATTGTTTTTGCACTAATTCTTGAATGTCATTGCAAATGTAAATCTCAAAAATTGTAAATTTTGAGAATAGCCATTTACAAGTCATAGCAACTTAATGGGGTTAAAATCAAGATGTAGTCTTTTGGATACACTTTTATTCCTAGTATTTTCAATTAGAAGAGATGAGCTCTTGATGCCTGGCTCGTGTGTCCTAACAACAACAACAAGTTGCACTTATATTGCACCCTCCACACAGGAAAGCGTCTCAGAGCCTTCCAGTGTTGTTTTTCAGAAAAATTCTATTTACGATTGCACTATTGCACCTGAAAATCTAAAACAATCTTTTACAGATTCTGTAAGCAATGTCTAGTAACAGAAACCTCAAAATACCCAGACCAAATCCATTACTGCAGCTGTAGTCCAATATCAAGTTGATTGCTTGCAAATGAAGTAAATTTGCATCACTTAAGTAAAAAGCAAGTTGACAACTTCAACACTGGCTCAGTTTTTCTCACCTTGGTTGTGGGTTTAAGCTCCACTTTGGGACTTTGACCTCACAGTCTAAAATAGCATTTCAGTCAAGTGCAGTGCTACTTTAATGGAGGTGCTGTCCTTCAGATGAAATCCTGTCTGCCTGATCAAGAGGATGTTTAGGATCCTTTGACGCTGTTTGTGAAGAGGAAGAGTTTCTCTTGGTGTCCTGGTCAACAATCAACCTGATTATTTTTTAAAAAAGTCATTCACTTCATGGCTATTTGTGAGACATTGAAGTGCACATATTGGCTGCCATGTTTGCCTACAACATAGAGTCACTACACTTTCCAGAAAAACTCTGTTTTGAGATATCTATGATATCTATGTCACATGCAAGGATTGTTCTATATTATTATTTCTGCTTTTACCAGTGAGCATCTCATTTGTTTTCTGTTTTATCTTAGGGTGGTAGTAAATCTGTAGCCACATTTAGACTGTGCCAGTAAAGGATGTTTTTAATTTGTGAGGAGGAATCTTCATGCATGAAGTAAAGATGACCTTAAAGAACGAACCATCCATAATCTTAAGCCTTCAGGGCAAGTGTCTTCTGTATGGAATGTCTGAATAAATCTCTTTTTCAAAGTCAAGCTGACTATGGATGCATTTTTAATTGGTTTAACTTGCCTCTATTAAATAATTCACCATCAAATAGTAGAAGTCTGTGAATAACCATTGACAAGATATAGTAGGTGGCTCACTGTTGTATCTGATTGTGTATACTGTGACGTTACCAAAACTGGCCCTAGAATATAACGCGTTTCAAGCACTGTTCGAACCATCCTAGCCGCCATTCTTGATGAGATACAATAGAACCCCTTTAATAACATGGACTTCAGCACAGTACAATTGGGGTGTGAACCCTAACATTTATTTGCCAAAAAAAATCCATTGTGCATGCAGGAAGCCGACTGGCTTTTCTATATTTAAAGAGAAAGACTGACTTTCAGATGCTCAGGTTGATGCTGACAATACTTCCTGATGACCTGGAAGACTGTTTTTCAGCGCGTAAAGAGCCAGTCCTGGTTTGAAGAAGACTGCCCGCTGTACGCATACAAAGATTGTAGAAGGAACACCTGGCAATTGAGTCCTTTGACAACACGGGTTGGGATTTTTATGGACACTAACTATTCTTATATTTACAACAACCAACTTACATTTGTATAGAGCCTTTCACGTCAGGAGGACGTCCCATACTGCATTAGATGTGTCCAGAAAGAATCTAGGGAACTCTGTACTGTGCTTGTTATTTGAAAAAATAATCCTTGGGTTTGATATTGTGCCTATAATGTTGATGCCCCAAAGCACTTCCCCAGGTAATTGCTGTCTAGTGTAGTGACTGTGTGTCTGTAGGCAAACACAGCAGCTAATTTGTGCATAGCAATATCCCACAAGGAGCCATTAAGTAACTAACCACTTTATCTGGAGCATTGTTGCCCAGGATAGCAGGAAAATAAATTCCCTTTTTTTGAATACTATCCTGGAAGCTTTAATGTCCATCTGATGGGACGTCAGTTTAATAAATCATTTGAAGGTGGCTTCCTACAACAATGTAGCAATCCACCCCCCCCCCCCCCCCCACCCCGTACTGCTCTGGAGTGTCGGCCTACACAATAAACTCAAAATCCCAATCTGAAGTTTGAACCCAAAACTTCTGGCTTGGAGGCAAGACTGTTAGCAACTGAGGCAGACTGAAATGTCCATTTTTTTTCTTTGAGAGCATAACTAGATTCACAATCAATTCTGACCAACTATCCCCCTGAACAAGGTTGCCATCTATCCTTCTGAAGTCCCTAAAAAGAATGCAATACTTTCTAAACTTTCCGAGTCCTCCCATGTGCGTTTGTTTCAAAAGTTGGCCTCGATGCAGTAGAATGCTTAGGATTTTTTTTGAGCAGAAAGTTAATGTCTTGTATTCATTCCCCTTAACTTTACAGATTCAACCTCACCAGGAATGGTTTGGAGTTGCATCTCCTGGCTTTACGCCCACTTTCAGCGACCTAAGAATGGGGCCTTCTGTCTTTATGTTTTAATTAATATCATGCTTTAATGAAGCCTAATGAATTTAGGAGTCTGTACATTCCTCGCTGCGATGTGAACATTAACGGAACAGCGGCCATTGAGATTGTAGCTTTTTAAGAACACTGACTTATTGTGACAATTTACAATTGCTCACTCGAGACTAACGTTTGCTGGTTAACAGGATTAAGAACGGCTCCTGTGGATATGACTCCACTACCAGCTAGCGCTGAACAGAACAGGGTTTCTTAAACTAATTTCTTTATGAAATGTTCTAGCTGCAACATTATTAAATCAGAAAGGAGAGGAATGTACGACTTTTTTTCTGTTTAGAAATGTCCAGACGTTTCTCTCAGCAAGGAAACTGCTATTTAAGGCCATCAAATCAGCGGAGATGAGGTCTAAGACTACCTACTGGCTGAACCCATGCGCTTTTTCATTAAGTGCTTTTGCAACAGTGGAACTTCTGGTTGTCTAATGTAAGCACGTTTTCATTGATTGTTTCTACAGATGTGGAATCACGTGCACTTGTTAAAGAGAGACAAAAGAAAGATAATCACAACTTAAGTAAGTCATGGGTCTTAAAGCTTTTACTTTTTCTCTCGGGGGCACAATACAATTTATATCAATACAGTAGTCATCAAGTCAGGAGGGCATCACGAAGTGCTTCACACAGTTGGCTGAGCACTCGATGGGGTGGGGGCAGGTTAAGCTAGATAGGGTGGGGGAAGATGACCAAGAGCACAGTCAGAGGGACATTTTGAGGTTAAACACTCTGAGATGTCTCCTGCATGAAGGGAATAATATAAATTCAAGTTATTGTTTCTGAATGTTCCACAATTAAAGCCAATTCATACAATGTTTTTTTTAAATCTTCAACAGTTGAACGAAGAAGAAGATTCAACATCAATTATCGTATCAAAGAGCTGGGGACCCTGATTCCAAAATCAAATGACCCGTAAGTATAGATCCACATTAATATATTTATAACAAACCTTGTGCCCTCTCAGGTTGTCTCAATGTCTCAAAGTGCTTCATAAGATTTTACTGTGTGAAGTGCAGTGACTATTTTGTAGGCGAATGCGTAACCAATTTGCGCAAAGCATTATCCCACAAATAGCCATGAAGTGAATGCCCAATTTTTAAAAAAATTTTTAAAGATGTTTGCTGGCCAAGACACCAGGAGAAACTCCCTTCTTTTGAGTAGTGTTGGTGTACACTCAATGAGACAAAGGGCCACATTTGGTGCCATAAATTTATATGATTCTAGTGCCATGTCCACTTTAACAGAACCTTATCTGAAGAACAGCACTTCCAACAATGCAGCAATCTTCCAGCATTTAATTGGAGTGTCAACTTAGACTATGAGCTCAAATTCCCAATGTGGGGCTTGAGCCCACAAACCTTCTGACTTGGAGGGGAGAGTGCTGCCTACTACTGAGCCAGGCTGACATCTATATTTATGAGAATCCTGCCTCTGCTCTTTATTAGTGATCTGCAGGGAGCTGTGCTGATTGTGTCGTGAAATCGGTCATCTATTAAAAAGCCAATTTGTAGCCCTAAGAACACTTTTCTCTTAATCTACGTATACTGTTGCACAGTCATTTCTATTGCATGTGAATTACATTATAACTAAGTGATGAACAATGGTTAAAATTAAAGATCTCAACGTGTATAAAACAAATTGTCATTTTGACATTAGGTTTTGGTTTTCTTGCCAGAACCTCAAACTTATTATTTATAGATTTTTCCAAAAACCCTCTTATTAATACATTTGCTGTGTAAGAACCTGCATTAATACAGTATAGATTGTTGTGCATTAGTGCAGTGGAACTCTATAATAAAGCTTGTGGTTGTTATGTGGACCTGCTCCATCGCTGCCTGCAAATACAATATAATCCTTGCATTTGATATCGTGCCTTATCACATCTTCGAGACGTCTCAAAGCACTTCACAAAGTGAATTGACTGTATATTTGTGGGTGAAATGTCCATGTCATCAGATCATTGCAAGTGCCTAGAATGCAATAAGTGTTATTGGCAGTGATCCAAAATCTGTTATTTTGACTTCCTTCGTGTATAAATAAATGGCTGACTTCTGGGTAAATAGGTCACCCCCAATGTAATTTCCTGTGCGAAGGTTAACTCTTTTGGATTCCCGTTTACTGTCTGGTGTTTGGCCCTTTGTACCCTTGTTTGAAAAGAACGAGGAAGGGCTGACCTGGTGATCTTGCCTTGTAATAAAGCTGTTTGGGATTTCAAGTACCTCATTATGACAGAGTTCCATTAATCTTAATATTTAGCAATTAATTGATGTAGTTTCCTTACTTCTAGGCCATTGTTGACAGGACTGTGGAGTGTAGATCTAGGCTTTGGCTGGGGCTGAAGAGTTCTGGTAGCCTTTAATGCTAATAAAGAATTGGGACCTTTCAATAAGATGCTTTATATAAAAAAAAAACTTTCAAAGTTCTTGAGCAGGCTACTGCTGAAGACACCATATCTAATGGATGTCCTCCTGATGTGAAAGGCGCTTTCCAAATGTTGTTCTAATGGGAAGGACAAGTTTACAGGGCTACGGGGAGAGTGGGGGAGTGGGATTGAATTGGATAGCTTTTTTCAAGCGCCGGCACAGACACGATGGGCCGAATGGCCTCCTTTTGTGCTGTATAATTCTATGATTCTATGTTCTGAGAGAGCACGAACCAATGTAATACTAAAACCTCCTTCTCAATGTTCTCTCTGTGGTAGGGTTCCTGAATGCTTTGAGACATCTTCCCAATGTGAAAGGTATACGTCAATGTAAATTGTATTGTATAATTGTATTGAAACAACTTCCCTGTTTCCCACTGAATTGCACAGTGTTTTTCTAATGCATTAAAAACGGGGCTTAAAATCATGTTCTAATCGGTAGTATTCCTTACATGCTGGTACTGTGCTTAAGTAACTGTTAAAGGAATTCAGCATTGCTATATTCATGTCTCAAAATGTATTAATTTAATGAACTTTTTTATCTTTGCTGAGGCAGACTACTAAAAGATGACCTTTTACTCTGCAGTGACATGCGCTGGAACAAAGGTACGATTCTGAAAGCCTCTGTAGAGTACATCAAGTGGTTGCAGAAAGAACAGCATCGTGTCAGAGAACTAGAAAACCGGCAAAAAAAGCTGGAGCAGGCTAATAGGAGACTGGTGCTGCGAATTCAGGTTAGTACGGAGTCCAGCAATGTTTGAGGGGGAGGTCGGAGAAGTGTGAAAGAAGACATTATCTGTTTGTGGGACTTCTCTGTGTGCAAATTGGATGCTGCATTCACCTGCAGTTATGACTCTTCACAGTAAATCCTATCAAACACTGAGGTGTCCTCCTGACATGAAAGGCCCTATATGAAATGTAAGAAGTATTATTATTTAACGCTAAAATTAATTATTTTTATTTAAAAAATAAAAATGATATCTGTAATCAGCTTAATAAGTGGGGGCGCTTTGAATTTTTATCTTACAGAGCAAATGTTGGTTGAATTGATCCTTGTGACCAGGTATAGAATGGGGAATGTTTTGTGACATTGCAAATGCCAATTGTAGGAACATTCATCGCCTATTGAATTTTAATCTTTAGGCACATTTTTTCCCCTCCACATCTAAATCATCTATATATGTATAGGCAGCATACATAAGTGGAACTCTGTTTGGTTTGGATACTTAAGCGCACTGGGTTTCTGCTTGTGAGAGAGCCCCAGCTGACCGACAAAAAAGAACAGTCACTACACTTTACAGTAAATCCTGTGAAGCATATTGCGACATCCTCCTGACATAAAAGGCACTACATCAGATGCTAAATACAATTCAGATAATAAATACAATTCTTCTTATTAATGTGAACTGTATTTATTATTCATTAGAGTATTTCATAATAAATGAAATTCGCATTGACCTCTTTCATGTGTCACCTAAGGTTTATGGCACAGGTTGACTTTCTGCTCTTGAACCGTAGGAATTGGAAATGCAGGCACGTGCTCATGGGCTGCCCACCATGACACCGGGTCTCAGCACAGCCGAACTGGCCATGCACCTTATCAAACACGAGTCGTACAGGGAGGAGAGCAGCCCCGACTTCCTGCAGCAGACCACCCTGCCCCAGATGTTGAGCGACTTGAGTGAGGGATCCTCCAGCTTCTCGGACCCTCTGTCTCACTTCACAGACTTGTCCTTCAGCGCAGCTTTGAAGCCGGAGCAGAGACTGGACGACCTTCTGATGGATGACACGCTCTCCCCACTGGGTGTTGACCCCTTGCTGAGTGCGCAATCACCCAACGCGTCCAAAGGTGGCAGCAGCAGGAGAAGCAGCTTCAGCACAGACGATGATGATCTATAAATAATATTTCCCCCACGACCTGCCCCATCGATGACGCGAGAGACAGGCCATCGCTAGACTTCTCCAGAATGACTGAATGATTTAAATGCCTTGAGTCGACCGCTAAATGGTTAAGTGCGGAGACCTTGTGGGGTGCTTGTACGTCAGTCATGCTGTCAAATGCAAATTCAGATGGAAGGTCAGAATTCCCTCCACGTGCTTGTTTATTTGCTGTTTCAAACTGGTCGCTGGCCGCATCCAGGCCGACCAGGAGAAATGAGAAGCAGAGCTCCAAAGCAGGCTGGTTCTGAACAAAGATGGCAACCTGTACATTGTCAGAGAAACATAAAATAAGGTGTGCGCTCGCAGCTGATGTGGAATTTTCAAGCCGCTGAAGCACCCCTTTACCGCACGAGTATAAACAAGGTAGCAATTGATCTGTGGGTACACACGTAGGCTGAAAAATGAGGCAGCTCACGCATCAATTTTCATTTCAGTAAAAGAAAATCAAGTGTTTTTTTAAAACAAAATGGAAATCATTGCAGAAATTGGATTGGGTGAAGTATCTATTATAAGGAGATAGGCAAATGTACATTAAAGTCCTTTTTTTTGGTGTAGCTATTACTCTGGGACACGTGTAGCTATTAATGTATTACCACAGGTTTCTTCCTGACATCAGGTAGTTTGATACAGAATTCAGGTGGGCAGGAAACATTTCACATCTGTCAAATACAAAGAACATGCCCATTTATGTATATGCTTGAAATCTGAGTAAGGGCTTATTGTAACTTTCTTTGGCTAAAGGGAGGGAATATGATTCTGTAAATATACCCACACACCTATGTTTAAAAAAAATTCCCTTTTTAGTCGGGAGAGAGTGTGCGTTCACTGAGGAAGCAACTTTTGCAATTTTTTTTGCTGACTAGGCGTTTAACAAGATATTTGTATTTTTTCTATGTTCTACTGTTTAAAAATAAGCATTCAAGGAAAAGGGAGATGCTGGTTGTAAGTCACAGACTATTGCAAACTTGTATTTTTTTTAAAAAACTCAAATAACATTCCTGAATTTAATTGTTTTATGTTTTACTGCCCGATGGCAGTAAACAGAATGGCTTGCATCAAGGTCAGCATTGTAGTGTTTAATTGTAGCAATAATCATCAAAGATACATTAAGTGCAATGCATTGGTTTGGTTCTGTTGCAGGCAATCTGATCTGCACCTAAGAATTTGCCGAACTGGGTGCCACTGAAAGAGTTGGTCCAAATAATAATAATAATCTGTGTATTTGATATAGCACTGTATCATGGTGTTAAGATGACTCAAAGTGCTCCACAGGATATACTGTAAAGTGAATTGACTGTATACCTAACATGTGGGTGAAACGCAGCAGCCAACTGCGTACAGCAATGTCCCACAAACAATCATAGATTGAGTGTCCAAATTTTGGGGGGCAATTATTACCCCCCTATGTCACAAATGACATAGTTTCTCTATTGCTCTTGGCAGACTCGAGGGGAATATTTGTTTTTCCGAGTGCAGGCGGCAAATCGTGAGCAGTGGTACAATTCAGAGTGTATCAGACCTACCAGTGGGCTCAGCGAGGCTGTGTGCTTTTACTTGCTCTTGTCCAGGTTGGACTTGTTCACTGAGCAGATAATTGCTCAGAGATTGGATAATATGGGTCAGAGTTTGAACTGTTGCATTAAGTATGCAAACACTATAGAAAGTAATTTAATGTCTTCCTGTTCCAATTTAGAGACATGTATTTTAATATGAAAAGGAAGCCGCACAATAACACAATTCAGCAAGAACCGTTAGTGAAGTTAGGTACGGGACAAAGAGCACTAGTGCTCCATGTGTAATTTTATGCAAATTTGCCCACAAAACACAGTCACTACATTTTACAGTATAACCATTGAAGACCTTTGGGGCATCCTCCTGATGTGAATGGCATTATATCACATGTATGGATTATTATATACAGCAAGCAATGCAACAGTGTCCTGCATGGAGATTTTGGAGCCCATCTACCTCAACCTTAAAAACCAGCAAGAGGCAAGATAATATTACAATTGAATAGATTTGCACCTGAACAGCATTTCATCCTGTGTTTTCCCACCAGACCCCTCAGCTTCACTAGTGTTTTAGGTGGGGGGTGCTCTTCTACATGTTACCGGAGAGCGAGATTGCATTGCTGCCTTCAAAGCACTGGCTGGTTGGGAGGCAGCAAACTGGTTCAGCCTCCCATCCTTCCAAGTCTACCGACACGGCTTCTTGTTTACGGCTATGCAAACCTTCATCTAAATGATGCGGTTTAAACTCCTGACGTTGAGCTTCAACCCCAACCTTCTGATTAATACAAGCTCCAAGCATTGTTGCGTTACCAAAGGAGAAACCTTTGGTTGTTTTTGGAGAATTAGCGACTTCACAGTCTTCCCAGAGCCAAGCAATGACAATCATTAAGCATTTTGATTACACATAATGCACCCTCAAGTTTTACAAACAAAAGCATTTGCTCAAACACATTGCCATTGTATAAAAATTACAACTTTTTGTATCAAAATAGCAACTTTATTTGTAAAATGTGTATAGATTTTTAATTCTGTTTTTGCTAAATGATTTTCACTACTGAAGTGTGTGGAAAATAATTTTCTTTTAAATCATCTATTTGTTTTGTTTATGTCAAAGAATGGATTTCATTGGAATATCAGAATAGTAAAATCCATAGAAGATAATCTTGAAGCACCCTTTGTTTTGTCTTACAATATTTAGCTTGGGCATTGTACACCAATCAAAGTCCTCAAACTGATACAAATGTTGTATAATAGATACCAAAGTATCTTGTTTTAGCAAAATTGCAAATTGGTTGTAGCAAACCTTCTCAATTTGAAGTTAATGTTGATCTTAACAAGCAATGCTCAAATGTCCTTACATTTCACCACAAAATATACAGTCAACTCACTTTACAGTATATTCTCTGAAGTGCTTTGAGACATCTAAGACATGATAAGGTGCTATACCAAGTTCAAGATTATTATTTATAGAGATTTACAGTGAATGGCAGAGGGAGGCCATTTGGCCCATTCAGTCCCACTGAATTATCCCAATTCCCCTTCAAATTTCACATACTTGTCTACTTTCCTCTTGAAACCTACAATGGACTCTGCTTCTACTGCCTTATTTGGCCGGGCATTCCAACAACTTTCTGAGGGAAATAGTTTCTCCTAAGCTCTCCTTGACCCCTCCCTCTCCCCCTCCCATGATGATGAGGGGGAAGGATAGGCTTTTCTCGCTATTGTGGAAAGTGACTTGTTTTTAAATCAGTCGCTTGCTCATTTACAATGTTCTTCCAAAGCTCCTTATGTACCATAAATGAATGATCCATCTCATATTCACTGCACTCATGGACATACCTGTGATTTAAGCTTGATAATTCCTGACAAAATAGTCATTTGCAAGTCAAAATAAGGGAATAAATAAATATTGCACCTTCCTGGTGAAATGTCTTGGAAAATATCTTGGAATTAAGGGCAATATATCAGCATAGATTGGAGAGTGGCTAACAGGAAGAAAACAGAGTGGGGATAAATGGGTCCTTCTCAGATTGGCAGGATGTGACTTGTGGAGTACCACAAGGATCAGTGCTTGGGCCTCAATTATTTACAGTCTGTATCAATGATTTAGATAAGGAAATAGAATTTGATATATCTAAATTCACAGAAGATACGAAGATAGGTGGGAGAGTAAGCTATGACGATATACACAAAGAATGCAAAGGGAAATAGACAGGTTAGGTGAGTGGGCAAGGTGGCAGATGGAGTACAACGTGGGCAAGTGTGAAGTTATCCACCTAGGTAGTAAAAATAGGAAAGCGTATTATTTTCTAGAGGGGAGAGACTTAGTAGTGTTAGTGTTCAGGGGGATTTAGTCACAAAAAGTTAGTATGCAGGTACAGCAAGTAACTACAAAAACAAGATTCCATTTATAGAGCGCCTTTCACGTCAGGAGGACGTCCCAAGGCGCTGTACAGTTGGGTCAGGACCCGAGCAGGGGGGAAATGGTGAGGGAAGGGGAGGGAGCGAGGAGGGGGTAAATGGTCAGGGTGAGGGAAGGGAAGAGAGGGAGCGAGGAGGGGGTAGAGAGTCGAGAGGGGAGCCGAAGGATCGGTCGAAGAGAAAGGTCTTGAGACCGGCCTTGAAGGAGGAAAGGGAGGAGGCAAGGCGAAGGCACTGGGGAATAGAGTTCCAGAGCCTGGGGGCTGAGAGGCTGAAGGCCCGGCCACCGATGGTAGGGCGGTTGGGGCGGGGGATGTGGAGCAGACCGGAGCCAGAGGAACGGAGGGTAGGGGCAGGTAGGTAGGGGGATAGTAGGTCAGAGAGGTAGGAGGGAGCAAGGCCGTGAATGGCCTTGTAGGTGAGGATGAGGATCTTGAATTCGATCCTCTGGGGGATGGGGAGCCAGTGGAGGCGAGCGAGGGTGGGAGTGATGTGTTCCCGAAGCCTGGTGCGGGACAGTACACGAGCTGCAGAGTTCTGAATGACCTGCAGCTTGTGGAGGGAGGTGCCGGGAAGGCCGGCGAGGAGAGAGTTCCCATAGTCCAGCCTTGAGGTGATAAAGGCGTGGACCAGGGTTTCAGCAGCGTGAGCGGTGAGGTAATGGCCTAGTCTGGCGATATTCCGGAGGTGATTGGAAGGCGGTGCCAGTTGTGGCGCGGATATGAGGGAGAAAGAACAGCTCAGGGTCGAACAGAACCCCGAGGTTCCTGACTGGCTTTGAGAGGTGGAGAGTGCAGCACCTTAAATAATAATAATAATCCTAGCATTTGACATTATGCCTAGTCACATCAGTGAGAAGTCTCAAAGAGCTTCACAGGATATAATGTTAAATGGATTAACTGTATTTTTTGTGGGTGAAATGTGGCAGCCAGTTGCACACAGCAATGTCGTGCAAACAGCCATGGAGTGATTGACGAATTTTAGTTTGGGGAATTGTTGGCCAGGACAGTGGGAGAAACTCCCTTCTCTTTTCGAATAGTAAAGTAGGATCTTTAAAATCAACAACAATAACAAAATTACATTTACAGAGTGCCTTTCACATCGGGAGGACATCTCAAAGCCCTGAACAGTCAGGTGTCGGGGCCTGAGCATGGGGGAAGGGTGGCATTGGGGTGAGGGAAGGCAGAGAGGTGGGAGGGTGACCAAAGGAACGGTCGAAGAGAAG